CTATGTTGTGAGGTCATTTTCATTAAATTTTAGGAATTCTTTCATTTCTTTCTGTATTTCTTCCCTGATACAGTGGTAGTTCAATTGATCATTGTTCAATTACCATGTGTTTTTTGGGCTTTCTGAAATTCATATTGCTGTTGAATTCTAATTTTAAACTGTAGTGATCTGATAAGGTACAGGGGTTTATTGCAATTTTCTTTAATCTGTTGAGGTTTGCTTTGTTTCTGAGTATATGGTCCATTTTTGAGAAGGTTCCATGGAGTACTGAAGAGAAAGGATATTCTTTTCTGTTTGGATGGAATGTTCTATAGATGTCTGTTAAACCCATTTGAGTCATAACATCTGTTAGTTCCCTTATTTCTCTGTTAAGCTTCTGTCTGGCTTACCTGTCCAGTGGTAAGAGTGGGGTGTTAAAGTTTCCCACTATTAGTGTGTGGCACTAGATTTGTGATTTAAGCTTCAGTAATGTTTCTTCTACAAACACAGGAGCCCTTTTGTTTGGGTCATAGATGTTCAGAATTGAGAGTTCCCCTTGATGGATTTTTTCTGTGATGAATATGAAATGCCCTTCTTTATCTTTTTTGATTGATTTTAGTTTGAAGTCTATTTTGTTAGATATTAGGATAGCTACACCAGATTGTTTCGTAGGTCCATCTGATTGGGAAAAATTTTCCCAACCTTTTACTCTGAGATAATGTCTGTCTGTGAGGCTGAGGTGTGCTTCTTGAATGCAGGAGAAGGGTGGATACTGTTTTCATATCCAGTCCGTTAGCCAGTGTCTTTTTATAGGTGAATTGATACCATTGATATTAATGTATATTAATGACCAGTGATTGCTAGTTCCTGTTATTTTTGTTTTTGTTAGTGGTGATGCCATGTGTGCTCACTTCTCTTCTTTGGGGTTTGCTGCTGTAAACTCATCATTTCCTGTGTTCTTGTGATTTCTTTGGGTTGGTACTTACCTTCTAGTACTTTCTATAGGGCTCGGTTTGTGAATAGGTATTGTTTAAATTTAGTTTTATAATGGAATATCTTGTTTTCTGTCTATGGTTATTGAAAGCCTTGATGAGTAAAGTAGTCTGAGCTGGCATCTGTTGTCTGTATAACCTCTGACCAAGACCTTCTGGCTTTCATTGTTTCTGTTGAGAAGTTAGGTGTAATTCTGATAGGTTTGCCTTTATATATTACCAGGATTTTCTCCTTTGAAGCTCTTAATATTGTTTCTTTATTCTGTATGGTTATTGTTTTGATTATTATATGGCGAGGGGACTTTTTTTAATTCGGTCTATTTGGTGTTCTGTAAGCCTCTTGTATTTCACAGGCATGTCCCTCTTTAGGTTGGGGGAGTTTTCTTCTATGATTTTGTTGAATATGTTTTCTGTGCCTTTGAGTTGAACTTCTTCTATCCTGATTAATCTTAGGTTCAGTCTTCCCATGGTGTCCCAGATTTCCTGAATGTTTTATGCTAAAGATTTGTTGGATTTAAATTTTTATTTGACCAGTGAATCTATTTCCTCTAAGTTATCTTCAATGCCTGAAATTCTCTCTTCCATCTCTTGTATTCTATTGTTTATACTTGCATTTGTGGTTCCTGATCATTTACCCAGGTTTTCCATTTCCAGAATTTCCTGTTTGTGTTTTCTTTATTGCTTCTATTTCAGGTTTCATGTCTTGAATTGTTTCCTTCACTTGTTTGAGTGCTTTTTATTGATTTTCTTTTTCTTTTCTTTGTTTTTTGTTTTGTTTTGTTTTGTTTCTGTTTTTTGAGACAGGGTTTTTCTATATTGCTTTAGAGCCTGTCCTGGAACTCTGTAGACCAGGCTGGCTTCAAATTCACAGAGATTGGCCTGCAGACTCTACCTCCTGAGTCCTAGGATTGAAGGAGTACACCACCAACGCCCAGCCTAAGATGTTTTTAAAATGAGCATGCAAAGCTTCTCTAATGCACAATGGGGCAAGACTCTACCAGTGAAAGTCAACTGAAAAGCAAACATTGAACTTCAATCTACAAGATCTTTGAATATAAAAATTATTAAATCCTTACTATATAATGAAGAATTTAAAATACAAAAAGGTAAGAGAAAAAAATCACCAAGATGAGCAGGCAACAAGAAAGTAAGTCATGACCAGCCCATTTTGAAAACAAATCAAGTGGGAACTTTGGAATCCTCACTTCAGCTCAAATGTAAAGTCAGAATGAATGGGCTGAACAGTTGATTACAGAGCTGGGAAGATGGCTCAATGTTATGAGCACTGGTTGCTCTTACAGAAGATCAGAGTTCAGTTCCCAGCACTCATGTTAGTCAGCTCACAATTTCCTGTAATACTGGTTCCAGGGAATCTGATACCCTCTTCCGGCCTCTTCAGGCACCGAATGCACAAGGTCACACATACATACACTCGGGTTTAGGCACATGCATATAAAATAAAAATAAACAAAAACTTTTGCCAGGCAATGGTGGTACATGCCTTTAATCCCAGCACTCGGGAGGCAGAGGCGGGCAGATCTTTGGGGTTTGAGGACAGCCTGATCTACAGAGCTAGTTCCAAGACAGGCGCCAAAGCTACAGAGAAACCCTGTCTTGAAAAACCAATAAAACAAGCAAAAGTTTAAAAAAAGAGTTGATGACAAGCAGGTGAAGAGTCTGCTTCTAAAGTTGAAGATACATGTGAAAAACGGTCCCAAGTAAGATAAAATGAAGACTCAAAAGAGTGCTTGAAAGAATAAGGGGCTATGATGAAGAATGAGTGATTTTTTTTATTTGAGTCTCAGAGGGATATGATAGAATGATCAAGAAAATTGTACAAAGGAGACAATTATTGAACCTTCTCGGAGTAGAAGACAAGTCACAAAAATAGGGAACAAAATTTTTTAATGTCTATTTTTTACAAAACAAAAGAGAGCTCATTTTAAAGCATTATAGGCTTTGTAAAACTAAAAAATAAGAACGCGAAGACATGCGCAGTGTCTTCAAAACCATGAGGATAGTCATGTCAATCAAGAACACATAGCCAGCAAAGATGGTCTCACAGAGTGACAGAGACGCTTTTCAATAAAAATCATGTTAGAATTTTTAAATTACTGTACTCTATCCATTAAAGGAAGTTCTCACCGTTGGTCTATGACCACCTCTCTACCCTTAAAAGCCAGCAAGACTTTAAAGAGCTTTTATCTGTTAGACTGTCTCAGAAAACGTGTGCCCTACTGGGAATGAAGAAAATATTTTAGCTATTGAGTCTGCTAAGGTACATTTTAATAAATAATGTGGCTTTTGAAAAGATTACTTTGACAGTTACTGTGAGCACCAATTTAGGGTTGTAAATCTCTTTTTGCTGTGAGCACTAAAATTAATAATTTAAGAGCCATGTCACCTAGGGTGATAGAGTAAGGTCAACCAAAATATCCTTTTACATGAAAGCAACAACTAGCTGTTAACTATTAAGATTTTTCAGAATCTTAACAGGCAGAATGTAGCTTAAAGGGACAGTGATTTTTAACATACACAGGGTTCATCTCTAACACCAAAAAGAAGAAAAATCTAGAAAGTAATCAAAGGCTTAGAGCAGTCTAGACAGCAAGTGTTCTATCAAGCCGAATGTGTTGGGCGGGACTGTGTGGAACATGATCTGACTGTTGAATTCCAAGAGCATGAACAGGAGCCTACTGCTACTCTACTTGGGCTGTGCAATGAGTTCCCTGGGCAGAAGCAACGCAGGGCAATACGGCATGGTGGTTGATAAGATGTTCTGTATGTCCCTGGGCAATAGTTTCAGCAGAAGCATTATGTGCATGAAATACAAACTCATAGCCAGAATTCAAGCATCTATTTGTAAGAACAAAGTGCTGCCCTTTCCATGATGGGTGTGTTCTAATGTAGTCAACCCACCACCACTCTGAAAGTGGGAATTCCTCCCACAGTCCACCTTCTTTGGATGGTCCTCACATGTCTGTTATATGACCCCAGATCCTGTCAAGTTGATGGGGAATATCATCACTCACAATGTCTGAGACATGAGGGCTGGAGAGCCCCTTCCCCATACCCCTCCGACTTCACTTCATTTCACTGTTCAAAAATGATCAGATGTTCCTCTTCTGTGGAGGGCTTCCTGTATCTGGGTCAATACAGCAGTCAGTTTTTGGACTGGACATATTTCACAAATCCACAGCTTTAACTGAGCACACTACAGCACATACAGTGAAGAGGACAGGCAGCCTAGATATCAGGGCAATGTGGAGACTGCTGGAAGGCCAGAACATAGGCGTGAGGGGATCACCATGCTGGACTTTTCCTCCACAACAAACTTAGAGGTGTGAGCTACTCCCATTTCCTCCTATGTTTTAGTAGTCGTAGATTTAATACCCTGTAAAGCCCCACAGCAATGGCACAGTCCACTCTCTGATGTCCAATGAGCCACACAATACTTCTAACTAGAGTGGAAACCCCATTTCATCCTGTCTCCTCTCAAGCATGGTGGTCACACGCTATAGTTATTTTTGGGGTCATCCTGTCTCCTCTCAAGCCTGGTGGTCACACGCTGTAGTTATTCTTGGGGTCATGTGCATGCTGGAGAATGCTTTCTTGTCATAGGATTAAACAAGTGTCCTCACGCAACTGATCAAAAGGCCTACAAGCTCCAACTTTTTGTAGCGATCACATCTCTGTTGACTCTTGGATACAGTCACAGAAAGACTTTATTTGGAAGCCAGAGTTTTTTTTTCAAAATTCACTCTGTTCCTCAAGAAAAATATTTTTAAAAATGACCAGAGAGATGACTCAGACAAGCTGCTTTTCCTAAGGATCCTGATTTAATCCCCAGCACCCACAAGTCTGCCCATAACCATCTGTGTAACTCCAGTTTCTAGGCATCTGATGCCCTCCTCTGGTCTCTACCAGCATTGTACACATATGGTACACACACATACATGCAGTTAACACACACATACACACACACACACACACACATTCACACTATTTTTAAAGAAAACAATCAAAAGCCAAATTCTTTAAATTTTATTTGAGAAAATAATACATGTTAAATTTCAGTAAAAACAGGGAAGTAATTATAATTTATGCACTTGGAGGTTCTTAGAAAACAACCTACAGAGAAACCTGGGTTTACGAGAAGAGGATAAATTTTGTAAAAACATTTTTCTGTGTAAATATTTATCTGTGGCCTTCACACCTCACCTTATCTCGTGTTGTATTATTGCCATACAGTACGCCCTGAGTATACAGTGAGAATGTGATAAATACTTATTAAACTGAAGAACTAGCAAGCACTCTTAGCTGCATCATTTCTAACAACCGAACCAGCTCGTACTTTTCAGCTTTTTGATGACACGATTCGACAGGGGGTCATATTCCAATTGATCGGCTCCCTGGAAGATGTAGTAGTGTCCTAAAATGGAAACAAATTCAATTCTTTAATTCTTGCCTTGTGTTCCTTTGAAACACAGAGTTGATTTTAAAGTTTATCTAGACTACAGAAGGTGTAATTGAGATGTCAGTATCGGGGATCCTTGGCAGTGCACCCTACTCTGATGTTACGCCCTGAACAAGAGAGGACATGGGTCTAGGTCAGTCATACAGGGATCTTGAAGGAGGAAAAAGCTAGAGAGAACTCAAACTTGTTTTTAATCCCGGTCCACTCAGGGGGAGAGGAGAAGGAATAAAATGAGATTTCCATTCTTCTTAAACGTGTCATGTCTCTCGTCTCACACAGCGTGCGCTGTGTCCTTGCTATGTGGTACTGACAGGCAAGTTTGTTCAGGCTGAAGTGGAACATATTCACACCACAAATGTGAGCGTCTTACACCCACCCTGCATCCCAGTCTGCATTATTGCACTCTAAAATGTGATTTTCAGTATTTTCCCAGTCTACTTACCTCTGAAATAGAAGCCTGCATCAATTTTAGACTTAATTCCTGCGAAGTTCAAGGAAATAAGTTTGGGATAGTTAGGGTCCATGGACTGCTGCCTCACATCATACCTGTAGGGGGAAATAGCAGGGACACAATGAGAAAATGGACTTCATAACGTGAAGCACACATTCATCTTTCTCAAGAGTGTTTTAAATGTACTGATGAAAAATTCAAAGACCTAAATGGTTGGTTGATTTTCCCTAAGTTACTACAGGAGTCAAAACTTGAACCTTGAGTCTAGTCAAATCTCTTTCCAGTCTCACAGTGTTTCCCCCGCTGCTCAGACTCTTCCCATGCAGCCTGGCATTGAGGAGGGCTTGATATGTGACACCTCAGGTGGAAGAGGCAGGCAGATCTCTGTGAGTTTGAGGCCAGCCTAGTCTACAGAGTGAGTTCCAGGACAGCCAGGACTGTTACATAGAGAAACCTTGTCTTGGAAAATCAATCAATCAATCAACAACAACAACAAAAAATAAACAATGTTGGATTACAATAAATTGCACCTGTTTGTCCAGAAAGTCTTATTTGGTGAAATCAACAAGTCCTATTTCTCAAACAAAGCTAAAGTTGGCAAACCAATTTATTTCACAAATATATGGCATTTAGTTGAAATTAGATGTTGAATTTTAAAAATTCAAGAAAACAGAGGTTTTTCTATTTTAGTATATCCTGTTGTGTCTTACATCAAGCATGCAAACTGTTTTCCTCAGAAGAGGAAAACATTAGGTGAGTAAGACAACCAGGCCCTCGCTGAAATGGGCAGCTGGCTTCCCTGTGGCTCACTTGTTACTCAAAGGACAGGTTACTCATTTTGTTTTCTGGGTCCACTGGCTCTGAGAAGGAGTCTTGCAGTCCAGATACTCTCCAAAATGAAATTAAATCCGAAACCAAAGGCCCAGAGAAAAGAAACAAGTCAACAGTGGCTGTTTCAGACCCATGTTCTCTTGCTGCCTCTCCCAAGAAAGACAAAGGAATTAGAAACCTTCATAGAAAAGCTGCCTTCTGTATCCAGCACCAACATACAGAAATGCTTATAGGCAAAAACTCCAATAAAATAAAAATTAAAAATATATCAGATGATCATTAAAAAGCGAACAAATAAACAAAAGCTGCCTTCTGGCAAGTTCCATGCTGTGCCTGCTTCTCAAGTCTTAGTGGACAAAGTACCAGCCATCGGACCTCACCTCCAATATCGTCTATCTGCGAAGAAGTAGACCTTATGATGAGATGGGTCAAAGATGGCTGCATCAATCTTTTTCACAAACGCAGGGAAGCCCAGAGAGTATATGTTTCTGGGATAGTGTGGCTCTGGCACTAAGTTATTTATTAACCAATACTTGTCACCTGTAAGGACAAAGACAAAGAGCACAACAAAATCACACCAAAGAATAATACAAATACTGACTTACTATAAAACACCTCTCTTGTGTAGAATTCTAAAATTAACTTTATTTTATTTGTGCTGGGGCGGAGGGGAGAGGCAAACCCGAGACTCCCATAGTGAGTAGGTTCTCTGTCACTGAGAAATGTCACCCCACCCTGTTTTTGTTCTCAATCATTGGTTTACCTCCTTGGCTCTATGGTTTGAATGTTTTAAGTGCCATCATCTCATATTTTATACACCTATCCCAAAGGTTGTATATATTTCTTGTATAGTTGATCTTGTAGGTTAACTTATCAATCAGATCTCTGATTACAGAAGTAATACCCTGTCCTTTACTTCACTTCTCCTTAAAGTGTTCTCAGTGGCAGGGCCAAGCATTGGCGTTACCTTTAAAAAGAAAGAGTTGATTTCTGCCTTCTATTTCATAAGCAGCTTGAATACCAGATGGGATGGTTGGCCACATGGAAGAAATTGAAGTGACGTTGGTGGCTGGACTCCCGGGCAGCTTCCACCAGAAGAACCTGGTGGGAAATGCATTTCATATGTGAGAAATTGCTGTAGATGCGTATTCTTCAAAACACAAATGGGAACTTGTGAAACAATTGAGTTTTTCACTTTATTTTCACTTTCTATTCCATGGCTTTCTGTGTGTGAGCACCGTGAAAGAGAACCTGACTTAAACAGGAACCCCAAAAAAGAAATGCCCAGGATCTGGACTCCAGGGATCTAAGATTCTGGTGTGGCCTCACAATGTTGTAAGGTTATCTGGTTTTGAAGAAGTTGCTGTTTCAGAATCTCAAAAGTAGGAGGCAATCCTCCCTCCCACACATTAGCCCTCCCCACTGCTCTTCCTACTACCCAGCATCTGTTTCCATTTCTGCTCCAAAACAGAAACTAGGAGTCATTCTGGAATTCTCCATGTACAAGGAAGTCTACACATGATCTTCTTCAAGAGTTCGTGAGAGTGTGTGTGTGTGTGTGTGTGTGTGTAGGTATTCATGTATATGTATATGTATATGTACATGTGTACACGTGTTTGTGGCGACCGCAAGTGTCTTCCTCAATCACTGAGCCGCATCGACCCTGCTCCCCTTCCCTGCACTGGGATTCATAGTCCATGTGGTTGCCCCTGGACATTTCTATGCGGGACTGGGGACTAATCTCAGGCTCTCTTCTTTGAACGCTGCACACTTTGCCAACAGAAACATCTCCCCAACCTCTGAGACATCATCATTTTTACCTGGGCTTCTCAACTTGCTGTGTTTTCATTCCCTAGCCAGATTCCTACTACAGAGTTAATTTTTTCACACACTAGTTTCCTACTTAACACAAACGGCATCACACCAATGCACTATTTTTTAAAAAATTTAAGATCTCTCTAAACCTTGGGAATCAAGTTCTACAACTTTGCCTTACAAATTTGATCTACACCCTTTCAAATATCTTCTGACAAAAAACAAATGAAAATCTAACAAGTTTAGCCGCATATCCCATAACATTGATTAGCTATGAAAATGATCATACCTGTCTTTAAAGAAAACAATTTTGTCTCCCACTGTTGTGACCGCATCAAAGGTCAAGCTTTGCTGACAGATAGTTGATGGTGGACTGACAGGGTTTCCTGAGGTTGGCTTTTTCAGTGGGGATCCTGAAAATACATTTTGATGTTCATTTGAGGAAATTTTTAAGAGGAAAGGCTATTCTTTTTAAATATTCTGTTTCTTGAAGGAAAATGCAAAACAGTCATGCTTCCAATGAAATTCATGAGAAGTGTGCTCTGAGGAGTTGCCCCACTTAGTGGCAGCATCACAGCTGAGAATAATTGAATGTCCTTTCTCTGGAGACCCCATCAACAGAGCACTGATGCCGTTGTTAGAACACATTCCAAACGTTAGCAAAACGAAAACAGTGTCTGTGCAGCCTTTCTCATAGCATAGTCACAGGGTTTAAATTACTACAATTTTCCAAATATGCAAATGAGGTTATTCAGTAGAATGCATGGTATTGTATGGCAAATTCTGAGGTTCATCTTACCGTAGAGAGACTGAATGCTTTGTATGTCATCAGCAGAGAGGCGGAATGTGTTGGGATTAACATAAATATAGGCAGGGTACATTATTGAATTTGGATTGTTGGAATGCTGCAGCCCCAAAGAGTGGCCAAGCTCGTGAACAGCAACAAGGAACAGGTTTATGCCTAAGAGGCAAAAAAAAAAGCAGCAGAGTAAAGCTGTGAAATGGATTCTCACTTTTTATTTAACCCACACTTGAAATTGTAGATGTTTAGGGGGTATTATGTGATGTTTGGATGCCTACACTCATGTTCAAGACAGGATAAATACATATCTTCAAATATGTACCATTCATTTGTGATAAAAGCACTCAAATCCTTTCTTCCAGCCTTTTGGATGTGATAGTACACTACTCTTGTCCATAGTTGTTTCGCTGCACCACAGTGTCAAGACTCTGGCCTCATTCTCCCAGTACCAAGGGATCAGCCACCACCCATCTGCCTCCCCTTTCTCCTCAGCCACTGGTAACCACCATTCTGCTATCGGCGTTTGGGAGACTAACTTTTCTCATGTCTCAATATGAATGAGAGGGTAGGGTGCTCATCTTCCTGCGCCTGACCTTTTTACAGAAAACCCAGCTCCATTCATGTGATAGGAGTCTGTCCTTCTAGTGACTGAATGCCATGCCCTGTGACTACGCTGTGCCCGTGAGTGCAGGTTCCTGCAGAGGCCACAGTTGGGAGCTGCCCAGCCTGGGCGCTGGGACGAGAAATAGAACGCAGGCCCTCCACACGTGAGCTCTCTTGGCCTCTGAGCCATCTCTCCGCCCCATTGCCTTATCGTTTGGATGGAAAAACACAACACCTAACACAGTAGAGGGGATGTTTGAGAACCCTGTACTTATTTCCCTGATCTTTCAAATAGTTTTTCTCAGCCTCGGTAATGCTGTCATTATAGGCTAGGTAAGTATTGTTAGAGCAATCCTCTACTGCAGATATTCAGAGGTCTCTAGTTGCACCACTCTGGAAGTATGAATTCCCCACTTCTGCTTTTAACTGAAAATGTCCCTTTGGATCCAAAATTGTCTACAGTTATGGTCCATCTCATTGCCAGATAAATGAAATACATTCTGGCATGATTCTTCCTAACATAGATCATAGGTATGTTTGGTAGCTCACATTGCCTCTAATTCTTTCTTAAAACTGGGGACACTTGCATGTGTCAGTTGTCCAAGCCACTCAGGAGGCTGAGACAGGGGGATTGAATTAATTTAGAAATTCAAGGTCATAATGTTTTGTAAAATTAACTCCCATCACTGTTAATCTGCCAGCAGGGACTCTCTGTTTGTCTGGTGTTTCTGTTAAGTTATATGCTCGTGGGGAAGATTTCTCCTTTCTGTCTCTGAATCAAACATGTCACTCAGTGCTGTAACAGAAACTCATCAAGCACCAGTCAGACTCTCCATTACTGGGTCAAAACAATACGTCAATACTGGGTATGGTACTGCATGCCCATATCCCAACTCAGGAAAATGGTGTAGGAGGAGCATGAGTTCAAGGCCAACCTGGGCCACATAGAATTTTCAAAAACACCTTTTTAAAAAATACAGAGTCAAATCAATTTTTAAATTAAGTTGGGGAATAGCCAGGCGGGGGAGGCACACACCTTTAGTCCCAGCACATGGGAGGCAGAGGCAGGCGGATCTCTGTGAGTTTGAGACCAGCCTGGTTTATAAAGCTACACAGAGAAATCCTGTCTCTGGGGGGAAAAGAGGTCAGCAGCCAACAGTACATGTTCTAGTCACACACAGACTTGCTACTGACTTTTACTTATTCTCCCCAGGTGAGAGCAACTGCTTTGATTTATGTTTCTGGGGTCCATTAGAATTCTAAAGCATTGTCACTTGGTGAAGAACTTACAGCCAGCCCCCAAATGACCCTGGAGAAAATCTCACACATGGACCATGTCTGGATGAGAATCTGTAGCTCAGCAAGTGTAGAATCATACATGATCTACCTCTGTAGCCTTCGAAATGCCTTTATCAAAGCTGTGTCAAAGCTGTAGGCTACATGTCTGCCTTTCTATGTGTAAAAATATAGCTATACATCATATGAAAACTCAGTCAGAGAAGGGGATTCAGGGTAGAGAGATCACATTCTTGAAAGTCTCACTGTTTTCCACATGAAGGAATTGTATAAAGAACTTCCAAGAGATATTAGAAAAGTTACTGAAATGATAGCTTAACTTTTCTTTTACTAGGGATGACCTCCAATAATAATAATAATAATTAACCTCATTCCCCATTATCTGAGTGGGATAGTGAGTTACAATCCCAATTGATTGATTGGACGTTCTGAAAATGGTATCCCAAGATCATGCAAGGCTCCAAGACTACCTATGAGCTTGTACTTCTCCACAAGGATCTGTAAATGTTCTATAAATATCTTGCCAACTCATCATGAATCTAAGAAATTGTCAACATATAACCAATTACAGAATTAGGGTTTGCTTCTAAGTTTAAAGATTTTACTGGTCAAAACCCTTTCCAAGAGTTTACAGTACATAACTTGCTCATGGGATCTCTAACATAATCACACCCAATACGCTGATTTGCAGTGAGGAAAAATTGGACTAAATATATAAAATATTAAATTTGATTTAGATGCAAACAATCAGAATTTGATATTTAAGACTATAATATTTTATCAGAATATATTCTTTCACCATCAGGGCCTATCTTAAATTTAGTTATGGCTAGTTTTCATTTAAAAAAATAAAGAAAACTCTGGTACCTCGAGAACCTTTACTCCAGGTTTCCGCCTCATCGAAATGTGCATCTCCTTGAATTCCAGGTCCAGGGTAGAAAGCGTGCGCTATTGTACCACCTCTGCCATCAAAGGGACTGTAGTCTCCATGAACTTTTTAAAACAAAGGAAGTCATTAGTCAGCTACATCTGTCACAAGCATGACATCACAGGGTACAACACTTGGTGGCATCACGGGTGTGGTGAACGAGGCAGTCACACAGCCTGACAAATGACACAGGTGAAGCTGCGTACCTCCAGATGCAAACAGGATCATGATGTCCGCCTCGCCTGTGTAAACCCTCCTGAATCTCAGAGGGGTCACATCGCTCCAGACACGAAAAGCTTTCTGAAACGCACGGTCAACGTCCTCACGTCTCATGTCCGGGGTGTAATTATAGATCCTGTGTTAGAGTAAGAGGGAAACAAACATGACACCATTGTTAATTGCATCTCTTCTAATCTCTCAGTTCTGCACCCATGCCTGCCGGAAGAACTTCCCCACATACAGACAGTTCAGGTTAAAAGAAATGTTGACGTTCAAACCAGTTTTTCCTTGAAAAACTTTTATCAATCAAACTGTAATTTAATTTCTTCTTATTTATAAGTTGCTAGTAATTATTGTGAAGGATTTGCTTTCTTTTTTATTAATTTATTTGTTACATTCCAATCCCAGTTTCCCCTCCCTCCTCTCTTCCTGCTCCCCCCACTCTCCTTTCCTCCCGTCTGCTCCATGGAGAGGGTAAGTCCTCCCCTAGGAAGTCTACTAAGTTTGTCCCTTCATCTAGCTGAGGCAGAACCAAGGCGCATCCCCACTAGACTGGGCAAGCTACCTCCCCATATAGAATGGGCTCCACTAAGTCAGTTTGTGTGTTAAAGTTAGATCTTGGACCCATTGCCAATGGCCTCATATATTGTCCCAGTCACACCATTGTCACCTATATTAAGGAGTCTAGTTCGGTCCTATGCAGGTTTCCCATTTGTCAGACCTGAGTCTGTGATCTCTCACTAGTTCAGGTCTGCTGATTCTGTGGGTTTCCCCATCATGGTCTTGACTCCTTTGTTCATATTATCGCTCCTCCCTCAATTCAATTGCGCTCCAGGAGCTTGGCCCATTGAGTAGTTGTGGGTTTCTGCATCTTTTTCTGGAAGAGGGTTCTAATTTCTCTGGGGTTGTGGATTGTAGACTGGGTATCTTATGCTTTATGTCTGGTATCCACTTATGAGTGAGTACATAGTATATTTGTCTTTCTGGCTTTGGGTTACCTCACTTAGGATGTTTTTTTTTTTTTTAGTTTTGTCCATTTGCCTGTGAATTTTTAAATGTCATTGTTTCTTACAGCTGAGTAGTACTCCATAGTGTAAATATGCCACATTTTTTAATCCATTCTTCAGTTGAAACCTCATAAAAGAGGGTTTGCTTTCATAAACACAAATATGCATTGTGCCCAAATTCCACATTAGTCCATCTTTGATATTCTGCAGACCTCTGTCTTCTATTTGCATTCAATTCAGTTTTGTTCTGTTTGCTTGCAGCTTCTCTGCTCTGCTCTGGACTGACTGACAAGCGAATGGCTGCAAGTCTTCCTTCAGTGCACAACTCTCCTTACTGAGACAGTTAATTGCGTGTGGGGTGCCTGTGTTCATACATGTATTCATGTGTATAGCTGTGTGTGCTGTGTGCGCATGCATGTAGAGGCCAGAAGTTGACTCAGGTGTCTTCCTCAATCGTGCTCCCCTTTATTTATTGAGGCGGAATCCCTCAACTGAAACCAGAGACCCTGATTCTACTAGTCTCCCTAGCCAGCTTGCCCTGGGCATCCCTTGTCTCTGCCTTCCGTGTGCTGGGATGACAGACAGCCACCACGCCTGTAGTGGCATTCCCATGGACTCTTGGGATGTGAACCCCGACCCCCATGTGTGACAAGCACTTTCTCCATTGATCCATCACAGCCGCCTGGAAACAACGAATGCCTTGGTGTTAACAGCTGACAGGGGCTGCTCTTAGATTTAAAATGTTGTTGTGGCTAAATGTTTCAGGGTTCTAGAAGCCACACCCACGGGAAAGCAGAATTCACTGGGCGTGTATCGACTGGGCGTGTATCGACATTACCTGTAGGTGAGGTGATGCTTCGTCCATTTTTGGGTCTCCTGCACTGCCCTGAGATTCTGCATATCGGGAACTCCACAGCGAGGTGTTTGCATGACCAGCAGAGTCTGGTGGTCCAGTTGCCCAGTTGCTTTGAGCCCAAAGAACTGCTGCATTTCCTGGATTTTTTCTTCTAGGTTTCTATTGGCTTCCCATTTTGACTTGTGAATCCTGTCCTCATTAAAGTCATAATATTTTGTCAAGTACCTCTGGAAAAAACACAAGTAATGTGCACAATTACACTGTGCACGTTGTACATGGCCAGAGTTCTGTTGGGAGCCCTGCAAACATGGCTGGCAACATGTTGGTGTTCCTGAACCAGCATTTTAATCACAGCTACAGTGTTCTATTTAGACATCAACTACAAGGGAGAAAAAAATTTAACTTCCATGCTACTAAAACATGTCATAGTCAGATTCACCAAAGCCCAGCAGAAAAATGTCTTGTTATTCTGCTTCTTCAGATTTGTTTCTGGGTTTTTAGAAACTATTTTAACATCAAGTGTAGAAGGGCACATTGTAAGTGGCAAAATTTTTATTGTCAGGGTTCTTAAACCATTTAGTTTGCATCAAAACTTGACTTAACTGGCAGAGTAGCATGCTCGAAGATCTGGGTTTGAGACCAGGAAAATCTTGACACAGTGAAACATTTGGATAAATTCAAAGTAAAAATAATGTTAGAAAATAGAGCCAGCCACTGAGGAGACCACCCCAGAAAGGCCATCGGAGTCCACAAGTTCAAGGTCAGACAAGACAAAACAACCGACTTGGTCTCAAAAAGAGAATGTATGTAATTTTTAGAAAATAGGAGGTCATTTTTTGAATTATAAAAAGTTAAGATTTAAAAACTTATGAATAAATATCTGAGGCAAATGAGCATAGAAGGAGAATGCTGTAACTATCATGAAAATTCGAGGCTACTACATAGATTAAGCCATGTCCAAATCTCACATCATTAATGGATATTAAGTTACTAATACAAATAGAAGACAAAATGGGGTGGGCACGCAAAACACAGCACTCTGTCAGAAATGTAGTCCAATTATATTAAGCTAAACTATTTACCCAAAGGTTTTAGTAGATAGTACAATTATTCACCAATTTAATAACATTCTTTCAAAATCATCACTTCATTTGGATATTCCTCTATGGAAAACTAAGCACGCTGAAAAGAAAACAGCTACCTACGCTGATTTTCAAATCAAATCATACTTTTGAAACTTGCAAATTCAGTAGAGGTTAAAGACACAGGCTAGACCAGCACAGCCCTGCCATACTCACTTCAGCAAATTCTGTTTCATTCACGGGACTGGCCCCGCAGACAGACACCTGCAGTAGCACGAGGAGCGCGAGGAACTTCATTGTGCCCAGATCCTCTCAGCTGGGCCCGCTCTGCTCCCTGAGTTCCCTTTAAAGCCCGCCTTATATAACCCTTTAGTCCGGATCTGTGAACGTGACTCACAGCTGATATCATCCCTTACTGTACTTCCGAATCATGTGAATGGACAGTGGGTCAAAGTGTTATCCAGCTTATCACTCACCTAAGCATCTCCAGTGTAGTTCTTCTAGATAACCAGTGAGCCTGAGCTTCTACTTACTTATAAGCACAGGTAATACACAAGAACAGAAAATCTACCAAAACTCCGCCAGTAGAGTTTTGGAAAGCTTGGTGTTGTTAATTCTCTTATACCCATTATAGATGAAGTGCTTTAAAGGCGGTTTTAAAAGAATGTGTGAAGAAAATACTTTTGCTAGAATACACAGAGCTCTGCCCAACCCCTTTAATCCCATCACAAGCAGCTTCTAGATGAAGAGTCTAATGCATGATTAGGGGCCTGTGAGATGATTCAGCAGACAAAGACACTTCCTCCAAAACCTGATGACCTGGGTTGGATCTCCAGGACCCCGCATGGTGGAAGGCAAGGATAGATGTTTGGAAGTTGTCCCCTGGCCTTCACATGCCTATTATGGCATGTGCGCACACACAGAGACATATATAATAAACAAACAAACAAATATTGATGTTTCGTTATTATGCAAAACAACAGACACAATTTGGCTTCTTCACACACATGTGTCCTATGCTTTGTTCCCCTTTCCTAAAGATTTTAGAGATCTGGACTCTCTTCTCCTTGGACAGGAAGAGAAGAAACACCCCCCCACACACACACACACACACACACACACACACACACACTCCTGCCACCACACTATCCCGTATCCTGTGGCTTGATTTCTAGGTGATCCACTTGAATTGGGGACCATGTGATTTATCCTGCTTATGCTATTGTGACAATTAAACGAGACAGTGAATTAAGCACTCTAGTGACAGGAAGTTGCCCGCTATCATCCAGTCTGTTCCTTTCTAGCTTAATGGGGAATATCAAGCATTGAACTCAGAAGCAGAAGACGCTCAAGGATTCAGAAAGAGAATAATCATGTGTTGAACATTGTCAGGAAATCCTTTCACATACTGAATTTAACTCAGTAATCAAAAGAGGAACAGAACCGTGTTGGGCTAGAAGTGGGAGAATGGAGGGGTTTTGTTTGTCTATTTGTTTTGTATTCCTGGTGTTGAAAAAATACCTAGAAGGTAGCAGATCCTCAGTAAGTACCTATCACTGAATCTGGTTGGAAAACTTTAAGGACATTGGAAACGTAGCTCCCAGGTGGGAGCAATCACTACAAGGAGGGTGTGTTCCTGATCCACTGAAAGCAAGAACTGGTCTCATCCATAGCAAGACAGAATTCAGTTCTTGGAAGATTTGCAGGAAATGTCTCATGCGTGTAGGATGAAGATGCAAGGGAATGACAAATATACTAAGAAGTGAGAGAATGCCCTAAACAGAAATGAGAGTAGATGAACATACCCACATTTTGTTTCTCCTGTGTTTTAACTCACCAGTTGCTCCCAATTAGCCAAGTGTAAGGAGATAAAGACTACATGGGCAGCTACAGGGCACTTCAGAGGTTGTCAAGTTAATTCCTAGACTCAAGCTGACCTGCTTAAGCATCTTAGTCTGTTGTTTTATGACCTTCAAGATGAGTTTCCCACTTGTAAAGTTGAAGTAAAAATCGTTTCTACATCATGGATGGTTATGAATATTGCACTAAACAATAGGGGAAAGTAGTGAGCCTCTGGCCTGGCACAGCTTACACATTACCTACAATGCAACCCTACACCTACAGCTCAGAGAACATCACAGAAGAGTGGGTAAAAGGATTACAAGTGATAGAGGTCCAGAACCCTGATGTGAGATAGTGTCTTTTAGATATGACAGTGACGCTGCACCCATGAAAATTCAACAATATGCCCACTTAAGCAAGACCTGTGTAATTACAATACCAGTTAACGAGTCACCATGGATGGGGTGCATGCTCCTGAATGAAAGCTACAAGCAGTCAATGGTGGTTAAGAGAAAAACAATCACTTTTCTCTGGGGATAAGCCCCCTTGATATCTTGTCCAACACTGCATGATCAGCCTTAAAAACATACTCATAGGTTGGACTATGGTGGTGCAGCCTTTAACCGCAGCACTTGGGAGGCAGAGGAAGGCAGATCTCTGTGAGTTTGACTCCAGACTGGTCTACAGAGCGAGTTCCAGGACAGCCTCCAAAAGCTACACAAAACCCTGTCTCGAAAAACAAAACAAAACAGCCCCCAAAACATACACAGAGAAGCAAAACTGTATGCTAAGTGGACTCAGTAAGATCTCTCTCTCTCTCTCTCTCTCTCTCTCTCTCTCTCTCTCTCTCTCTCTCTCTCCACACACACACACACACACACACACAGTTCCATGATTGCAATGTTCCTTCACACTTTCTTACTGCACTCTTATTTAAGGTATTTTTTAAAGTTGGTGATGAGAATGAAGAGGAAGATTGACTAGTTTACAGAAGGAGCTACAGGAAGCTCCTGACCCTGGTCCTGATTCAAAGCTGACAGTCCCAGCAGAGCCACCATGGGGAGTGAGAATCAAAAGGCGGCCAATGGTGCTCAACACAAACAGAACCTTTTATGGATGTGCAGAAACCAGCCACTGCCCAGCTTCTTCCTACACAGAATGGTGGGTGCTTATCAGAGTTTCCTTAAGTAGAAGGCATATTTTGTAACATAAAGTTTCCAAAAGTATAAGAATTTAGTCGTTGCCACATCCTTGGACAGACATCAGGACAGTTGAGTATCAATGAAACCTGGAACCATTTGTAGTGCCATTCCCCAGGAATCCAGAGGCAAATAGAAGCGTGGTTTCCAGGAAGGACCCGTGCTCCATTGGTGCACAGAGAAATGCACGCCTTCCCTGACCTTTCACACACTGACGGCTTGTTCGTGCAGGGAGAAAACTTCAGCTGCTCGAATTTCCTGCTTTAATGGATAGGATATAGGAGGCATGTTGGGGTCTCCTCACTGTGTCCTGCTTGTTGCTACTCCATCCTTCTTTCTCCATTTTTATTTTCCTGCAATGGAGAAAGGCTCTTCAAAGTGACACGTTAAATACAATTATTTAAAGCTTTCTTTTACAGAAAGGTTTTGAGTAATATTTAGGTAAGCCAAACTCTTGCTGAGTTCCTCTGCGGTCCTCTGTCTCAACTATAAGCACATTTACCACCAACAAGAAGCGCCACCCTCCTGGAGTCAGAGACTGCGTGTGCTGGGTGAGACTCCAGGAGAAACAGCACCCACCAGGAGACAGTGGCTGTCGGTGCTGGCTGCGACTCCTGACTAAACGGACTGGGCAGCAACCTGCTGCTCAGTGTGCCTTTGCAAGTCAGAGAACGGGCGAGTAACTGCCACTTCAAAGGCACGCTCTACTGCCTTCTGCATAAGTGCTCCTCCCAAGACTGTACCAGAAAGCTCTCTAGCTCGAAGACAGTCTTCCCGCCTGGGAAGTTACAGTGTTGGCAAAAAATCTTGAATGTGTGGAGCTGAGGAGTCATAACTAGCACCATGTTGTAGCTCAGAAAAGGATGTAGAGGGAAGAGTGGGGGAGGCGCAGAGAGCCCCACCTGTCCTGTTCCTCAGCCAATGGCTCCTTGCAAACAATTGTAAGCTAGGAGACAAAATGCAGCTGAAAGTAGTGACCTCAAGAACAGAGGTGTGTTGACGCATGGGTGTGTCTGGTGCTGGAGAGGGACTGTAATTCAGGGAGAGAGCCTCATTTTGCCCACATTAAGCCTATTTTCTTTACAATACTAGAATTGTAAAGAAAATAGTGTGTGTGTGTCTGCGTGAGTGCATGTATGTGTATGTGTGTGTGTGCACATGTGTGAGTGCGTGTGTGTGTGCATGCATGTGCATATGTGTGCGTGCTTATTCTTCTTCTCCAGTAAAAAGGTGAGTACATGAGGGCAGTGATCTATGACTCAAATGTGTGACCTGACTTTGACTCCGGAGCCAGGTTTAATGGAAACAGACCTGGCCTCAAACCTCAGCTATGTCACCTACAAGCTGTGTGGTTCTCTTGAGTTATTTAAGGTCAGTTCCCTGTCTGTGCATGACCTTGTGAGGGTTAGACAAAAGAATGCGATGGAGTAACAGGAAGAGGAAAAACTCAAGAAAATATTTGTGTCTTCAATTTATGTGATTGTGATTTACTTATATAGCGGCAGATCATTCTGTAGATATGAAAGAGAAAAGGGAATAGCACCATGAGACAGGACTTTAGAAGAACTGAAAGAGAAAACCAGAATTTAAAAAACTCCATAGATGTGACTGTGGGATCCCTTTTCCATGTACATATTCAAACTGTGTACATGAGGGACCTAAGCTATGGTTATAAAATGCTCACTGTTCAGCCCAAGCCTTGAGTCATGCCTTCCCAAGCAAACATGGTCTTTCAGGGACCTCTGCTGCCCTTGTCTGACCTTGAACAATGGCTCCTTGAATTGTGTGGGCCATGCGTACAGTCACAGATTCAGCGCGCCGCGGGCCGCCTTCTACTGAAAGCTGTGGAAACTCGCAGACTACAAGCACACTGTGGGTAGTTGAGGAGGGAAATGGCTTTGAATGACTGTTCTTCACTGGTCTGTTGTCTAGCTTGCCTTGCTACTGTCTGGATCAGAACTAGACCATGCAGGTCCCACAGAAGAGAAAGCACACAGGCTGTGCTGAGGAGAGGGGACGGGGGTTCAAGAGGGAGGAGGGGATAAACCGAGAAGGGAAACAAATGGAGACAGAGAATGAAAGCTCTGGAGCTGGGCTACCAAAGAAGAGAGTTCTCTCTGCCTCCATTGGTTACCTCACTCACCTCAGCTACACACAGATAAAACAGAGAGGCCCTGCCTTATTTAGCACAAGCCTTTTCATGAGCTCAGCTTTCATATCTTAGTTTCTTGAGGAACAGTAAATCTTTTGGGATTTTCCAACCCAAGTCAGCTCTAGAAGAGCCACTCTGAG